TGTTCATCAGTGCAGTTGCTCCAAAAGCACTTGGACAAGCACTTTGAGTGTCTGTGTATGCTTTTAGTTTGGCAGGAGAGTGTTACCTCCTTAGCTTTGTTTGCAGAGCTCAGTGTTGGATTGCTAGATGTTAAAAGGTTGGTTTTTTTAAAAAAGTTTCGTTTAACTAATTTCAATAGAGTCAAGTTGATACTAATGAGGACAACTCAGCTCCTTTGCATTCTGCTGATTAATCCTGTTGCTCCACTCTTTCAGTTCATGTGTGGAGTGATAGTTTTCTCTCTACCACTGCCATCCTTTGTTGCGTAGGCACACGGTGCCCGTTGATAACAAAGTTCTGCTCAGTGTTTGGGGATCTGTATTGCAGGTACTACTGTCAGTGTACTTAAAGCCATAATAGACTGAGAGCTAAGAAAGGGACTTTATAGGATCTCACTGTTGCAGGCCATTGCATCAGAAAGGGAACTTGCTCCAAAATCAGATCACATTTTTAACAACAGCAACCAAAAGAAGACAACAAACAAGGCAGTCAACACCTTTACAGATGAGCTATTTTAGTATTTTTCACCAGATGTTAAGTAATAACTGAGCTTGTGCTTTTTTTTTTTTTTTTTTTTTTTTTTTTTTTTTTTTTTATTGGAGTGTTAGCCTTGAATGTCAATTCCTTGTTGCAGGAGCAAGAGAAGCACTGGGTTGGTCTCTTTCAGCCCATACGCATGTCAGTCATGGGGGACTTCCCACTTTTCTGACTCAATAGCTTGCAACTGTTGGGGATCTGATAAGTAGGAGAGCTGCTGGCAATCCTCTTACGTGCGACTGAGCCGAGGTAGGTGGCAGCTTTTTGTTCGTTCCCAGCTCTTCTGTAATCTTTTCACGCTTTCTCTTATAGGCAGGCTTTGAGCGTTATTTGTCACTGTGTTCAATGTGGAACACGATGTGGATTTTAGGAGTGTCGCTTTGTCACTGGCTTGACCACATGTGATTGCGCGAGGGGTGTTACTGAATTTCCTTTCTTGCTCCTGCCTTTCTTAAGCATCTCCGAGTATTGAGGATGGTCTGGGAAGATTTGATCCTGATTAGGTGTACTAGCACAGTATTCAGCTGGTGGCCCACTGAGTATCTGTTAGCAGCCTTGCTTTTTCCTGTGCAATGCAAGTTTTCAATAGTTTTATTTGATATCTGAATTCTAGTGATTGCTGTGTCCTTGTTATGGATTACTGCTATCTTATTTAATTAGCCCAATTAGCTGTGTCTTCTCCCAGTGCGTAGTTTTGCCCTGTGTTAGGCACAGATGCCCTTGGAGAAATGTCTGCAGCCATTTAGTGTTTGGCAGATGGTTTGTTGACATTTGTATGTGGTGTGCACACACTTAACTCTTGTTCCAGCTTACTTACAGCTCACTTTTTTAGCAATGCCAGAAGTAGGGAATGTCTTATCTGGCAGCAGAAATAGAGGCTGGAATCAAAAGTATATGAATAAGAAAGATGGCTCTGGCTTTGCTTCTCAAGCAGCAACAGGACAAGGCAAATGCTCAGCAGTGCAGCAGTGGTTGGCTCTCTGCTTCATGTTTTCTGGGCCTCGTTGAGGTGTGTGTGCTGAGGGAATATGGGAATATTTGTGTGGGAACCTGTCTACAGCAACCCTGTGTACGGTGCTCATGGGGTTGGGGTAGGACCCTTGCAAAGGCTGAACGTGGGGCATAGGGGGGATGGGTGAGACCTTCTGCAGGACTTGGAGGAGGAGGTTCCTGCAAGAGAGCTTGGGTTTCTGAAAATTGCATTTGGGGAGTACTTCAGGTTTGTGGGAAAAAGTTTCCTAGGTACATCTTCCAATGCCAGTAGAAAAGAAACTCCACAGTTCTGTATCTAAATACTTTGTGTTCCTTATGCCGTAAAAAATGACGTAAGCATCTCCCAGGAAAAGGAGGAGGGCCCTTTCTCAATCTGCTTTTCCACTTTACTATGGAATTCTAGAAGAATAACACTGAGCCAAGATTAGAGTCATTAGAATTCAGCATTCTAATTCTAAATAATGAAATAATTAGATTGCTGACAGTGGAATATATTTCAAAATCTTTACTGCAGCATTCCGTTGGCTGAAAGTCATGAACGACGATTTGAAGATAAGGAGATTCAAGGGCAATATGGAAATAAACTCTTAGTCATGGAAGCCAATATTTGAACTCCTTGGCTTTCCAGTGATGCTCTTGCTTTACAGTTATGAAGAAGAGTCATAACTTTATATATCACCAGTGAATGTGTTTTAATTTTACTTTTTACTTCATCCAGGCACAAATGTTTGAAGTCTGCCCTGTCTTGTCTTTGTAAATGGAAATGTAGTGAAAAGCATAGATTTCTTGGAAACCTTTGACTCGTAAGCTGTAGAAGCCAATGTTAGAAAGAGTCTTGTGCTGTATTTATGCCACTGTTGTGACAGCTGAATGGTCTTCATTGTTATTTCTAAATTGTGCTCGCTGGTGGGTGTTAAAGCTTAATGTCTGTGAATGAGTTTTTTTGGTGTTTGATTTCAGATCTTTTTCCCAAGAAGTTTCCCTTTTCAAGATGGGGTTGAAGTGTGCAGATTTAAAGGCAAAACAAACCCCAAACAAAAAAGGAAACCCACCCATAGTACACATGCCCTGTTTCCCCTCCTTAAAGCTTGCACCCTGGAAGGCATGAAGTGCCATAAGCTGTCTTTGCTAGTAGCCTAAAAACAGGTGGTTATGTTTGAACGTGCTTCCTGCAAAGTTGCAAAGTCATGAGAATATCCATGTGGATTACAGCCTGCTTAAAAGTTTGCCTCTTTCATGTCCGTGCAGCCATCTGGGTAAGGTCCTGTAACAGTTGGTGTGAGCTGTGCAGCCACTGGAAGCAGTAGCAGCAGTCTCTTCTAATTACTTCCAGCTCACGTTAGGCTCCTTTGATTCAAGGTAGAAGGAGGTAAGTGAGTGTACTTAATAAATTTACGGGCTACACCGGGCGTAAAAAGAAAGGACCTGTGCGAGGGCCTGCGTGCAGCATAGTTAGCTTGAGGTGTAGGGATGATTGCTGACGTTTTTATTTCAGCTCTGTGCTACCCCAGGGCCACAGCCAGTTAAACTGCGTATAAAAACAGCCCTTCAACGTCAAGTCAGCTGTTTCTAAGGTGCTAATGACCCCAAAGTTTATTCTTTTTCCCCTTGGGGTACATGGGGGATTGGTTTAGAAATCAGCATTAACTACAGGAGAGTTATGTTTCTGTGAGAAATATATCAGTGGGTATAATGGAGATTTGCTTTTCTTGTTTTGACTAAGAGCACGTATCCCTGGCAACGTGCTGGATGGTGAGCTGCTTCGTTGTATTGCTTTTTATTAGGTGTGTTCTGTCGGTATAGAAGAAAAGTTATGATCTTGAAAACAAATAATAGTTGATCTTGTGCTGTTGTCACAGGCAGACCGTTCTGGTGACTTGTTAATGCAGAGATTTGGGGATAAATTGGGTTTGCGAATGTCAGCATGTAAAAATGATTCTCTGAGCCCTCACTTTTTGCACAGAGACTTAAGCATTTCTCCAAAGATTCTGAAAAATGTAATCCATATATAATAGTTTTGAGCCCCTCACTACAAGGAAGTCATTGAGGCCCTGGAGTTGTGAGGGGTCCTGGAGCACAAGTCTTATGGGGAGTGGCTGATGGAACTGGGATTGTTCAGTCTGGAGAAGAGGAGGCTCAGGGGAGACCTTATTGCTCTCTACAGTAACCTGAAAAGAGATTGTGGTAAGGTAGAGGTCAGCCTCTTCTCCCAGGTAACAGCTGTAGGATGAGAGGGAATGGCCCCGAGTTGCACCAAGGGGTGTTCAGGTTGGACGTTAAGAAAGGTCCAAAAGGGTGGTCAGGTGCTGGAATGGGCTGCCCTGGGAGGTGTTGGAGTCACTGACCTCAGAGGTGTTCAAGAAACATTTAGATGTTGTACTGAGGGACGTGGTTTAGTGGGAAATCTTGGTGATAGGCGGACTGGGTGATCTTGGAGGTCTGGCTGGTGAAAGTGGGTAGCAGTGATCAAGACAGTGAAACTTTGAGTCAGTGAGTAGTTTTCTGTCCGTGTACCTAAGAGGGAGTTAGTTGAGATATCAGTAGCAGATTAAATGATTAATAAATATATTTTCTAAAAGCTGCAAGCTGCGATATGAGTGGTATCCTAATGCTTACTACTTCAGTAGGTCTAAAAACCTAAGTTTTAAGTGTGAAGTGGGGAATAAGCAAGTCACCTTTCTCACAGCTGCACTGTGAGTACAATCACATGACAAACCTCTGGGCACTAGACTTCATCTTTGCTCCCTTCTGCTGGTACAAGAGAAGCAAAAAAGTGCATTTGATTTACTGCTATTGATAAAAGAGAGTAGAAGAGCTTTTGTTTCTTGGTTGCAGATGAGGTTACTTGTAACAAGAAAGGAAGATACTTTGAAACAGAAGCTTACATTCTCCTTCTCATTAGATCTCATTGTATTATTTCAGATGCCTAGTGAAACTTCTTTTAGCTGTCTTTAGGCCTGAGAGAGGTGCTACTAAGTATGCAAATGGTGGAAATAATTGCTTGTCAACTGCATTACTATTTTTTTTTCCAGATGTTTAGTCCAGTAGGGGTGATATTCTGCTTCTCAACCAGCAGATTGCTCCTACTGAATTAGGAAATTCCTTCTGCATCATTTTTTACATTTTTCAGTTTAGGGATTGCTTTTCCATCCATGATGCCTACTGTGATGTGGAGGGATAAGCGATTTGGCTGTTGGAGGAGCAAAGTCTAGTTGTATTCTTCCAAGAAGGTTTTATCAAATCTCACATCTGAATTTTAAAAGTCAGTACTGGAAGATCTGAATATGTTTTACCATTCTTTTTACCTTAAAGCAGACAATACATATGCAGATTTTTCCTTTTTTCCTACAGGGTCAATTAAGTGTAATGATTTGAATGACTTCTATTTAGATGAACTTTCAAATAACCCTATTTTCCTTTTGCATTTTAGTGCAAAAGATGATATTGATATTGATGCCCTTGCTGCTGAGATAGAAGGTGCAGGTGCTGCAAAAGAACAAGAGCCTCAGAAATCCAAAGGCAAAAAGAAAAAAGAGAAGAAGAAACAAGATTTTGAGTAAGATTTTTTTCCTATCCACGTTATTTTATTTAACCTTGCAAAACTTCATTTACTTAAGTACCATAACTTTTCCTGTTTTAGTGAAGATGATATCCTGAAGGAGCTGGAAGAACTGTCACTAGAGGCACAAGGAGGGAGAGCTGAGAGGGAACCTTCTGCAGGAAAGGTGAACACTGTGGGGCAAGGGGAGACTATGTAATAGGAAGTAGTTGGGATATGAGACACTTCCATCCTGGAAGAGTTAGTTTGTGTTTGGTTGGAACTCCTAAGGAAGTTAGTGGATATTTCTTCTTATACTTGTAATAGTAAATGTCAATTGTGAAATATTTTACCCTAAGCAGTGTTTTTGTGTGATGATCATCATTCGAACTCAATCAGAATAAATTTTAACTGTGGGCTGAGTGTAGTACAGTCAGCAGTTCATAGTTACTGCTTTTCAAACTTCATCTTCAGTAAGAGAAGTTTTTCTTGACATCTGTGAATGCTAACTCTCAAAAGCATGTTATTTCCCATGGCTGATTTTATCATTTAATTACCAGGCTGAAAATGACAATGAAGATAGCTTATCAAAACAGGACAAAAAAAGGAAAGGAAAGAGCAAAAAAGCCAATCTTGAGAATGACTACGACAGTGAGGAAATGGAAGATAAAGATAGAAAACCTAAAAAAACTCAGAAAGCAAGACAAGACGTACTTTCTGGCAGTGATGATGATGATCTTGAGATTCAGCCTAAGAAAAACAAAGGGAAAACTCAGAAATCAAACAAAAAGCATGAACTGTCAGAGGATGAAGCTAACGTTAAGAAAAGCAAGGAGCGTGTGGGGACGTTGTCTACAGGTGAGAGCGGTGATGAATCGGATGAGTTCTCCCAGCCTAGAAAAGGACAAAAGAAAAACCAAAAACCGAAGTCCACTGCTGCTACTGGAAGTGGGGATGAGGAAGAAGAGTCATCATTCAAAGTAAAAACGGTAGCTCAAAAGAAGGCAGAAAAAAAAGAACGTGAAAGGAAAAAACGTGAGGAAGAAAAAGCCAAACTGAGGAAACTGAAAGAAAAGGAAGAATTAGAAGGTGGTAAGGAACCAGCAAAGCCAAAGGAAGCTCCAAAAAAAGCTGAAGAGAAGGCTTCTCCTGATGTCGCAGCAGCCCCTGGCCCTGGGGAAAAAGGAGAAATTCCTGCAGGAGCAGAGGGTTTGTAACATGGTTTCTAAAACTGTAATTTAAACATGCTGGTTTTTATCAGGAGACCAGAGTATTGACAGGCTGTGCAGGTGATTTGTTGCTTTATTCTAAATCTGGAGTAGTAATCATTTGGTAGCCTTGTCTTCCTCTTTGTTGGCTGACATGTGGCTATTTTTTCTGGCCTGTAGTTTATTCAGGTACGGGTGTAAACAAAAGCCAGATGGTGAATTCTCATTACCACATGTACGTAGCAGTTCTGTAATGTAAACATAATTTTTCTGCCTAATTATTGTTAGACATCTGTTACATTAAGTCTTCAGGCCCTGTCTTTGTAACATAAGAGACAGTTCCATTTTTTTTTATTATGAAGTGCTTGTATAGTAGCCTCTGAAAATGTTCCTTGTTTGGAGTTAGTTACAGTGTTGGAAATACTAATTGCATTTAGAGTCTTTACAATTTCTGGGGTCTTTGATCCTCTCTCTTCTTTCTGTAGCTGATGACAATGAAGGGGACAAAAAGAAAAAAGACAAGAAAAAAAAGAAAGGTGAGAAAGAGGAAAAGGAAAAAGAGAAGAAAAAGGGGCCCAGTAAAGCTACAGTTAAAGCTATGCAAGAAGCCTTGGCTAAAATGAAAGAAGAGGAGGAGAGGGCAAAAAGAGAAGAGGAAGAACGCATACGACGACTGGAGGAATTAGAAGCTAAGCGCAAAGAAGAGGTATGGCATTTCTTACTCTGAGGACAGAGTAAGGGTCGACTTAACCTGAACTCTTGCTGGTATGCAGCTTCTATATCCGTCCTTAATATGTTTTCTCATCAATGGAATAAACACACAGCTTTTGTGTGAAGCGTGCTTTAAAATCTCTGCATGTTTTTTAACCTTTCTCTAGGAACGGTTGGAACAAGAAAGGAAAGAAAGAAAGAAACAGAAAGAAAAAGAGAGGAAGGAACGTCTGAAGAAGGAGGGAAAACTTTTAACAAAAGCTCAACGAGAAGCCAGAGCCAGGGCAGAGGCTACTCTTAAACTACTTCAAGCTCAGGGTAAGTTATACTGCTGTTTTTAAAAAAAATTAAAAAAAATCTACTTTTCACACCCCTTACTTCTCTTTGTATTTTTTATCTATATTTGATTGTATACTGAGTAAATCTTTGTAAAGCTGGTCTGGATCCTCTTGTGTTAATTTGTGTACTCGCTTAAGCACATGCATTATTTTGCTTGAAGTCAGAGGAACAACATTATCTCCTTATGTTTGCTTTAGGAAAGGGATATATGGAAGCTTTCCTACTTATCAGTTAGGTAGAATCTACATCTCCCCTGCAGTGAAGTAAACGTGTTATAATCCCGCGTTGTCCCTGCTGACTTGTTCCTGTGGCTAAGGAAAACCCCTCTGACTCTGCTCTTGTGAGGCCCCACCTGGAGTACTGTGCCCAGGTCTGGAGCCCCAGTACAAGAAAGACAGGGAGCTGTTGGAGAGGGTCCAGAGGAGAGCCATGAAGATGATCAGGGGACTGGAGCACCTCCCCTGTGAAGACAGGCTGAGGGAGCTGGGCTTGTTCAGCCTGGAGAACAGAAGGCTGTGGGGTGACCTCATTGCAGCCTTTCAGTGCCTAAAGGGAGCCTACAGACAGGAGGGGAATCAACTCTTTGAAAGGGTAGATAACAGCAGGACAAAGGGAAATTATTTTAAGTTGAGGGAGGGAAGATTTAGGTTGGATGTCAGGGGGAAGTTCTTTACAGAGGGAGTGGTGAGGTGCTGGAACAGGCTGCCTAGAGAGGCTGTGGATGCCCCGTCCCTGGAGGTGTTCAAGGCCAGGTTGGATGGGGCCCCAGGCAGCCTGGTCTGGTATTAAATGTGGAGGTTGGTGGCCCTGCCTGTGGCAGGGGGGTTGGAGATTCATGATCCTTGAGATCCCTTCCAGCCCTGGCCATTCTGTGATTCCGTGAAAGAAGAGAATTCTAGAGGCTGAGGAGTATTCCTGTTGTATTTGTAAAGAACCAGTGTCTGACTCTTTGCTGTTAGGGAGCATAAAGGTGTAGAAATGTCTGTAACTAGTGAAATGAATCTTTAAACACACGGTAAGGTGGTGGTTTTTCTTCAGCCACTGTTGTAATTACTAGAATTCTTCTATCTCTTTGCTGCCACAACCAGATTTTTCTCAAAGCAACACAGTTAATTAGGTGGGTACCTGAAGGAATTTTGAGATTTCAGGAGGTGTAGTGATAATTAAAGGAGTTTATTTTTGCACCAGACTTTTGTTTATAATTGAATCCTTTCCAACGTTACAGTATTGGAAGGTATGGTGATGACTTGAAATTGCCATTATTTTAATACTTAGAGCTTTTTTCTTTCTCCTTTAAGTGGAGAAAAACAAACAAAAATGCCATCAAACTATCCTCAGAAATAAAAAGCAAATGAAAAAAAGAGCAAAAGACTAAATTCTGTCCTGAACAACCTTAAGCTCTTAAGAAGAGATGTGCATCTTAACTCTTCCAGTTTGCATGTCATTTTCAGACACTCGTTTTAAATGCATGTGAGCGTAGCAGAATTTGCACTGATGTATGTTAGTTAAACTTGAGGTGTGTGTGTTCATCAAATCCTATGGAAATTTGATTGATCAGTGTGTTTTTTTTCTGTTAGTGATGTAACTTCTTTAGGAATGGTCAGAGTATCTGAAGAACTGCATTTAACAGTGCTCAAATTCTGCTGCTTTTGAAAATGAGACTGCTTTTTGAGAGTTGAAATCTGCAATGAACCTACTTTCTGCTCTTCTCCTCTGTCATCTGGCAACTCTTGAAAACTTGTTTTCATTTAAACTAAAGGAAGCAGTCACCTGATTTATTTTTCTACAGTATTTTATTTTTTCCTAACAATGTTTTTACAGGTGTTGAAGTGCCATCCAAAGACTCTGTGCCAAAGAAGAGGCCAATATATGAAGACAAAAAGAAAAAGAAGCAGCAGCAGCCAGAAAATAAAGAAGGTGTGGTTTGCATCTAGGAATACTTGATAAATTAGTCATGCTTCAGGAAATGTTTGTGGAATAAATCAGCTAAAGCTATATTAGTTGCACTTCAGAGTGCCTGCAGGTTTCTTATGTCGTTCTTTAGCTGTGCTTTTTTTGTTGTTGTTTTTTAGTCTCCAACATAAGTAATGTGGCTACCTACCCACTTCAGAATAAAGAGCTGAACTGGCTGCCCATCAGAATTGCAGAAGTTTGGTTTTTTAATAGAACAGTATAGAAAGAACGGGTGGTTTGTTCCTTAGTACCGGTTCATTCTCTCTTGTGTTTGTAAGAAAGAGGCTTTTTGTTTTAATGTTCAAATCAGCGGTGATTGTCATAGCTTGTAACTGAACTTTCACATGAATGCATGGAAGGCCAGATGTTTCTCAGATGAGCTGCACACTTTGACTTTGTTTTAACTGAGTACATGGGACTTCAGTTAGTTTGCTATCAAATAGAAATGTTATTTACTTTAATAGCTCAACTTGAAATGAAACTTAAATGTGATGCTGAACGTCTGACTCTGCTTTGAAGTTTGGCCTTCTGAAAGAACCTGGAAACTAATTTGCTTCTTGCAGTTTCAGAAAGCTTGGAGGTGACTTCCCCAGCTGAAGATGCAGTAGAACTAGAAACACTGGTAAAAGAAGAGTCTCCTCTTCCAGCAGAGCCAGGTTAGTAGTAATGCTAATAAACTCAAAGCATGCAGGGGCAGTACCACACGGCAGGTATTTGCTGTTTTCAACACTCTTCCTCTATACCTTGTTGGGTAGGAGCTGAGTGGCCATCCATTCTTGAGGCAGTTGCCTTCCTTTCAAAGGGATGAACGGATGGAATTTTGTGGAATAAAAAGGCATGAAGAGTCAGAATGAGATTGTAAGGGTCCCTTACATGGTGAACTCCCATGTTCAATTATGTAGGCAACTGTGTCATATAGGTACATTCAGGGCCCTATGATTAGCTCCCTTGACTTTTCATTTGTTTTCTGAAAGGTGTTTTTTCAGGTGTGATGTGGGAGTCAGAGGGAAATATGTTGCTTCTCGTGACAGCCCTGCGATCTTCAAACTGAGAATACAATCACCATGAAGTGTTCTGTTTTCCCAAGTGCTGAATGCAGTGAATATGGATTAGCTTGCAAAACTGAGGTGGAATCAGCCTACTGAGGGGTTGTTGCTGTCATTTTTCCCTGTGCACAATATTTACTTTGGCAGAATAGCTTAATACTGGACTTCATTCTCAGTGAGGAGACAGTTTCAATTTTTACCCTTATTCTTAAGTCAGGCAAGTAGTGGCAAAGTTTCCAACTTTGTAAAAATCAAACTGAATGTGTACTCCAATTCTGGCTTGATGTATCTCTTGAAAGAGCAATTTTAGTGCCATAATAAAAAGCTATCTGGCAGGAAAGCAGTTCCTAGCTAATGTTACAGCAGTCTGGAATTAATTCTTTCTTTATGTTAAATTTCATGACTGTGTGTTGTTCAGTGCCCCTTTTGGAGAGTATTAAGAATCTGCATTTTTCCATTTGTCTATTATAAGAAGAGACAGCAGCTTTTATCTGATTTAGCTCCTGCTGGAATGAATTAATTTAATCTGGAATTCATGATGTTGCATAATTGTGTCAAGGCACCTGGAGTCTTAAAATAGCACTTTCTGTAGACGTTTCATACTAATTGAAGACTACAAGTGTGGTGGTTACAGCATTAATTTGTTTCTCTGTCACCTTGCTACGCATGGCTAATGGTTAATTGTGCAGCTTCTGTCAGGAACGTGATTTTGGTAGAAGTTTGTGAGGTGTATATGAGGCAGGTACTTGCATGATGTGCAGGGAGCAACTGCATCAGTACTTTATCTGTCTTCCAAAAATAAGCTGTGCTAGGCAAAGGTGATAGAACTGTAAAATTTACATGGAGAGGACTGAAGTTTACGTGTTTCTTAAGTGTGCAGCATTTTTCTACTTAGGGAATATGGAGATAATTTGTTATAATTATGGTAGCAAACTTGTAAGTTTCAGCAGTCCATGTGTCAAAGGAAAGGTCATCTTAAATTTCGTATGTTGGTGTGCTGTTTCTTTTCCTCTAATTTTGGATTTCTTCCTCTTCAGAAGAAAAGGAGGAAGAAGAAGAAGAAGATGCAGGCTTAGATGACTGGGAAGCCATGGTTAGTGATGAAGATGGAGAAAAAGGTGAGCATGTAAATACTGAACGGATGTGTTTTTTTCTGATTAACAGTTGTTCTCAGGGCTTTGTTTTTAGTTTGTATGGAACCAGTAGTGTGCTTAGACTCCCCTTCTCCCACTGTTAAATAATTTGCAAGGCAAGCGTGATAGAAAATAGACATAAGATTGTCTGTTCATCCAAGGCAGAGCTTTCACTGACTGAACAGACACGGTTCAATGCTCCCCTTTGGAAATATACGTGCACTTATCACCTAAAATATATCAGTTGGATATTTTTATGTTATTGGCAGTAAAAAAGTAATAAAATGCCCTCCTCTTAATGTATGTTTTCAACCTCATTTGGGAGCCAAGAGAAACTTTCTACTTGATACTGTATTTCTCTAGTAGCTATTCCAAACCCCTAATGATTTTACTACAGAAATCTGGCAACATCTAGGAGAATACCTTCAACACAGGTTCTCAAAGAGGTGAGAGACTTAGGTGGCCTGAATGTTAGCATGCATGCATTACAGTAAGTTCTAAGTACCTTCTCTCCTCTCCTTTGAGAGGCAAGCATAGAAGAGTTAACAGAACATTGATATTCCTAAGCATGTATGCCAAAGCCTCTATTCTGTCTGGTCAATGGCAGCTTCTGTTGGGGTTGTTAAGAGCTGAACAAAAATGTAGGGGTAATTTCTCAGATATTTTCCTCTTCTGTTGGAGGAAAGATACATTGCTGTGGATCTTCCAGACCAGCAGTTAATTACTGTAGTTAGTGCTTCCATGATCTGTCTTTGTTATTGAGATCAAGAACTATCCAAGTCTTTTTTTATTTGCTCAGCTGTGGACACATCATATTTCATTGCTAGTGTGTGCTCCTATGGTCTTAGGCTGTTCTACCTCAGAGTACTACTGGCTGCTAACCTTCTTTAAAGTCTGCTGCTACTACACTGAGGAGAATGCCTCTATTCTACTTCTTGCTACTTGTATTTGAAGGAACTGCCAATGTGATGTGGAGAAAAAAACCTTCCTGGGAATTAGATCTAGTCTATTAATAAGCTCATGGACTTTCAGTGTAGCAAGGAAACATTACTAATCTCAAAGAGCAGTGAGCCTACTAGCATCTTTGTAAAGAGAACAAGATATAGCTTTAAAGAGTGTTTGTTAGCTTGTCCTTTGTGATTTTACAGGTGTGGTAACCAGGGAGCTTTCAAAGAAAGAAGGTTACTTGCAGATAGTTCTTGTTTATTGAAGAATCCCTTTGAAAAGTATTGTTTCTTAATTAGGAATTAATTAGGTCTAGGGAAATTTAGAATGAGATATGAAAAGTAGTAGAAAAGCTCAGTTGTTCTCATTATTTCTGTTGCTTCAAGATACCTTCCTGATCACTGAATCCATATTGTGTTGAATTTGGAGGATGGTTTTGTTTAGAAGTGGGAGTGCATCCATTCCTTGTTGAAGTGCACAGAGCTTTAGAAAATGTCACTTCTCAGAATTTTTGCAAATGATTTCAAATGGAAGTGTGCTGCTGATATCATTCCTCCCTCCAGCCCCAAACTTACTTCACAGGTTCTAAACACTTTAAATCAGCAGCTCTGAACATGAAACACATTTTATATTTACAGTTGAGAGATGATCTTGCATTGCACTTCTGGGGTGGAACCTAATCTCAGTCCTCTCTCTTTGGCAGCAGACTCAGTAGACTTTCTTCATTTCTTTATTGTTGATCTCTCCCCTGGGAACGTGAATTTAAGGAAGTTCTTACTTTAGATTTTATTTTTTGATAGAGAGCAAACCTGTTCACATTGAAGTCAAAGAACAAAATGAAGTAGATGAGGAAGAAGAGGAGGAGGAAGAGGATGAAGAGGAAGAAGAAGAGGAAAGCGAAGAATCTGAGGATGCGGAAAGTGAAGGGAGTGAAGATGAGGATGAGAAGACTTCAGATGAGAGGGATGCAGATTCCCAAGCTACTGGGAAACAATCTGGGGAAAGAAAGCCCAGCAAGGAAATTAGCTCTGATTCTGAGTATGACTCAGATGATGACCGCACTAAGGAAGAGCGCGCTTATGACAAAGCTAAACGGAGAATTGAGGTATTGGGATGCAGCTTTGTTTGGGGGAGTTCTCATGATGTGCAAGGAACAACGAATTTTCAGTTCACAGGAAGGCCTTTGAACTATAGTTGCCAAAATGATGGCTGTGTCATGACGCTGTTTAGGCAGGTCCATACATTGGGCTAATGAAGGCAATGCCTGTTATTGCCTGAAGCCAATCTACCACAGCTTGATCATGAAGAATATACGTGTCAGTGTCACTCTTGTCTGCCTCTCCTTCTTCTGGACAAAGAAGCTTTTATCCTTTACAGAGAAAGATTTTAGTGTTAAAAGCTGTATTTCTAAATTGTACAGCATTTTTTGTGACTACTTTAATGCCCTCTGTTTCCTTACCCAAGTTCCTTCTTCAAAATGAACCACTGAGAAAGCTGATAAATTAGCCTGCGAGCCTGTAACAATAACAGCAACAACAAGCATAAAACACATTAAGTATTTGCTGTAGGCATTTGGACTTGGGAAAAGAGGGATGGCAGGCCTTGAATTGCCTTGAAAATTTAAGTCCTGCTGTTAGCTTTGTTTAGTGTAGATATGTGGTCAGTTCAAGGGGTGAGCTGTGTTTCTTGATTTATACGTAACAATTTTCCTGCATCTCCCATATAGAAGCGTCGAGCTGAAAACAGCAAAAATGCCAACACTGAAAAGCTGAGAGCACCAGTTATTTGTGTCCTGGGGCATGTAGACACAGGCAAGACCAAAATTTTAGATAAGGTAAGATGCAGAATGTGAAGGTACCTCTCCTTGTGTGTGTGATTTTTGGGGTTAAAAATAGAAAAGATTAAATTGTCCTCAAAGGGGTTACTTTAAATGGGATCTGACATGTGAATATTTCTGGTCTTTTTTTCTTGTTTTTGCCTTCAGCTCCGCCATACTCATGTGCAGGACAGTGAAGCTGGTGGGATCACCCAGCAGATAGGTGCAACTAATGTGCCCCTTGAAGCTATTAATGAACAAACTAAGATGGTGAAAAATGTAAGTTATAGCACTTCAAAGACTTAAAATACATATATATAAATTGTAAACTAGTTACTACTTAGGCCTTGTGAGATATCTCCACAAAGTCAGGTACCCTTTTCCTGCCAACGTTGGTGTTGATTTAATTCCTATAGGCAATAACTTTGTAAGCTCTGACTTTTGAAGCTTACTGAGTATTTTATTGTTAACAAAACTTCACTTCTTACCTCCTCTGCTGAAATTGGTCCAGTTCACAGGTGATGAATATTATTGTTAGAGAAATAGCAACTGTTGTGGTTTTGGATACTATATGCTGCCTGTAGCAGCTGACCGAAAAACTTTGGCAGTGATGCCTGTTTCTAAGGGATGGAAATATTACTTGTAATTTTAGTTGAGTAATCCTAAAACTATTCAGCTAAGTGCTGAGGAAGCGTTCTGGACAAACTTTCCTCACAAAACATTTGGCTGCTACTGAAAATAACGATGAGCTTGCATCATTAGCTCCTGTAAAATCCTAACAGAAAAGTCTCTCTTAATTCCATAGATATGTTTTGAACTTATTTAATTTTACAGAAGCTTTATGTAGTCTTTTAAAAATGTGAAATCCTTGGGGACGAGAAAACATTCACAACAAGGGTGATAAATCTTGCTAGCTTGAATGTATTTTCTGGGGTTTTTCTTTTTTCTTGTTCCCCTCCTATAGGCTACTTTGTCTTAACAAATCTTACCTGAGCTTATGGCTACTTGGCATCTAGGAGATGTATTGCATCGTATTTTTTGTATGGCAATTAGCTTTGATTTATTTTGTGGAGGTGCTGGCTTGAAAATGTCTGTGGATTTTCTGAAGCAAGTGCTATCTGTAAGTTGCCAGCTCAGGTTTCTTCTTGCACTACCTTGCCAAGGTGACTAATATTTTGCAATGTTAGTTTGACAGAGAGAACATAAAAATTCCAGGAATGCTGATAATTGACACTCCAGGACATGAGTCTTTCAGGTAATGTTTGTTCACACAGTATTGTATTTCCCAGAAGATGCCTGAAGCATCTGCATGTATTTTTAACTAAGTATTCAGTCTTTCTCTAGTCTGTTGTGTTTCTTCTTCCTTTAGAAAACTGAAGTAGAGGTTTGCTTACTTTACAGCTGCTTTTTATATCTGGTTAATATCTGGCATTTAATATCTGGTTAATGTCTTGTCTTCATGCCAGTTGAGACAAGAGTATCTGTAAAAACACGTAAATAATTTTTGTTAATATAATTATTGTAAGAGGGAAGATAGAGGCAGGAAGGAAGGTAGCTGTAGAAGAACGGGTGACCTAGGTATGCTGGCATGAAAAAATCAAGCTCATCTCGTCTCCAGTTCTGCGTCCAGCTGATATAACTGAGTTCAGGACAGTGAGACACCAGTTGCACAAATAAGCCGATTCCTAGCAGAGTTCTTGTACAGTGCAGGGATACAGGTGGCATACAGACAAAAGATGCTAGATCATCTTTTAAGTTAAAAGCACACTGTGCACAACTGTTCTCATTGAGGTGGTGTTCAGATGAAATCCCTGGACAGGATTAAGACTTTGTTGTGATGTTCTTAAATGGTAGCCTCTAAAAGGATTGACGTTCCAGGCCTTAGGTACATGATGATATTCTGACCTGTTTCTTGGCATCCTGTCACTTACAGCCCTTCTTCTAGCCAGGTTTTATTCAGCACTTCAGGTGTCTCATACTGGTGTTTGTCATAACATTGAGTCATCTGTCTCATTCAGATTTTCCTCCTATACTTCACTGTAACCCTCTCAGTTTCCACTCAAAGCAATTCAATGAATCATAACTTGTAAGAAGTCTATAACAGTAGGAAAGCTATAGGCAGAATTGTAGTTTCTTCTTACTTTTGCTTATGTGTATTCAAATATACACTGTTAAATGGACTTCACAGTATTATTTCAGTGTTTCATGGATGCATAATGAAGGACAATTTCTGATGGGGGAAAGATGAATATTTGATCAGCTTTCACTTATTCATGAGTGTAAGTTTGACACTGTATTTGGTGATTTTCTTAAAGTTCTGTTGCAACATGATCTTTTTTCTCTTTTAATGCCACAGCAATTTAAGAAATAGAGGAAGCTCACTTTGTGACATTGCCATTCTCGTAGTTGACATTATGCATGGTTTGGAACCACAGACAATTGAATCCATAAACCTGTTGAAATCTAAGAAATGCCCCTTTATTGTAGCTCTCAACAAGGTAAGAAAGCTTTTCTCTATGATGGTATTTTTTTATATTGTAAGAAGGTATTTTGACTCTAGTTTTCTGTTGTCTTTCATGATCTTGAATTGCCTGTGCAAAGACTGAAGCAGTGGTTCTTAGCTCCTTTCTGCTGCATTTTGGTCAGCTGCTTTACGGGAGTTTTGCAGAACAATGTGGCAGTTTGTCTCACAGTTCTTACTGATAAACTTACATAACTTCAGTATACTTTTGAAAGTGAACTGAATATTAGCATTAAAGGTTGCTGGAACCAAGGCAGCTTTATCTCATTACTGAAAATAGCTGTGATGTTTTTAAAACGCTTGGATGGAGGGGTGATAAAAGATTAACAAAAAGATCTTATGGTTTATGTTATAGTCCTGTCACTTAGGTCATAATCCATTTTCTGAGATCCAGTTCGGAGATGTAAAGCCAGTTCTTTGGACCTAAGATCAGTTGGTTTTCTGGAAGTCTTTCTGAAGCATGCAGGTTATATGTTTTGCACAGCCCCAACCATCTCTGTAGCAGTGTGGGAAAGGGTTCAAATTCACCAGTAAGTTTAGAAAAATCTTTGTAAAATGAGTGCAGTCACTTTTCAAAGGGAATAAAAAACAGCCTCAAGTTTTTGTGTATGTAAAGCTGTACATGAGTCTCTTTTGTCTGAGTGTTTTATCTTAAACCTGATGTAAATGATGTATGTAAACTTCTTCCATATGAACACAGACTATTATGGTTTAAATGATTAAAATATGAAGTAGTATTACTTTCCTGACGTTCGCTCTGGCATGGGGTAGATACATAGAGAAATAATGCCTTGGAAGCAAGTCGATTTGACTGCTAGCCATCCAGTATTGCTAGCTGATGAAGTATTTATCTCAAATTGTGTGGAGTAAGCATAAAGTTGTCCTTCATGTTGCGGAAGATGATGTATTACTGTGTTTTCAAGATCGACAGGTTATACGACTGGAAAAAAAGTCCTGATACAGATGTAGCTGTGACTTTAAAGAAGCAGAAAAAGAATACAAAAGATGAGTTTGAAGAACGTGCAAAAGCTATCATAGTGGAATTTGCAAAACAGGTAGGTTGGAATGTGCAAGTCTTTTCTGTTAATAGAAGTGGTAGTAAGGATGGTGCTGTGGGTGTGATGGTTTTGATCGCTTCTGACACATTGGTGTTTACTGTCCGTAAGCCAAATTTTGTTGTCAAGTAACAGCTCTTTGAACTGCTCCATCTTTGGAGTGCTAGTCTGGAGGAAAGTAACAGCAAATTGCTGTGCGTGGTCAGTGAAGACACGAAGAGCAAATCAAGTTCTCTGTCCCTGTTCTTACCCTCTTTGGGAATCACACGAGAGAATCCCACCTGTCCCTTGTTTCCTTGGACACCAGAGGGGTGCGAGTCGTATCAACTGTGGGAACAGCTGTTGGTGGCATACAATAGTATCTAGAAGCTTCATGTGGTAATAGGCTTTGTAGAGTTATCCCATGCTGCATCCAAGTATAGGTTGAAGCTGCATATTCTGTAGTGAGCTGCCAGTAACTGTGTTGGTTTTATTTTAAATTAAAGTAGAGAATCGCAGTGGTTGGCTGGAATTGTATGTTACTGTTAACTGTGTGTATATGGTGTGTGTGTGTGTGTGTGTGTGTGTGTACGTATCTGTTTTCCTCAAGTAACTATTAATCCTGATTGCAGGGTTTGAATGCTGCCTTGTTTTATGAGAATAAGGATCCCCGCACTTTTGTTTCTCTTGTACCTACCTCTGCTCACACAGGGGATGGCATGGGAAGTCTGATAGCTCTTCTCGTTGAGCTAACGCAAACTATGCTGACCAAGAGATTGGCTGAGTGTCAAGAACTGAGAGCTCAAGTCATGGAGGTAATTCAGCAGCTATTCTTTGAAACTCACCCAGAAATTTCTGCCCTCACCCCCTCGCTCCCTTCTACTTGGCTTACAATTAAAAAAAGAAATAATTGTTAAAGCAGAGAGTAACTTTCTTTCCCTCTTTTGTTCAGGTTAAAGCACTGCCAGGCATGGGCACTACCATAGATGTTATTTTAATTAATGGACGCCTGAGGGAGGGAGACACCATTATTGTTCCTGGTGTAGAAGGTCCCATAGTGACTCAGATTAGAGGTCTTCTGCTACCTCCTCCTATGAAGGAGCTACGAGTTAAGGTATGGAAACTGGTTGGTGTACTGGCTTTAAGAGAGCATTCAGAACCAGAGTAAAATCAAGTTTTGATACAATAGAGAATGTAGTAGAATTCAGTAGCAGTATGGAAGGATGATTTGAAAGGGAAGGCAGTACAATATGTTAAAAGCATTTCTGGCCATTGCTTCTCTTTATTCAAAGCAGAAGATAAACTGGTGTGTGAAACTGTTATGAGACTTATGTCTTGTGTGGGGTTAAACAGCAGTGTTAACATCATAAGTTTCCCAGGTCAACAAGATTGTCAGGTGGATTTCGGTGATTTGATGGCAGATGTATTTTTGGTGAGCAACTTCCTATCACTGCTTGCAGTTTCCTAGTGTGCCCAAGTTGTTGGTCCTCTTCTGTGCCTTGGACAGTTCCCCTGCTGCTGCATGCCTTGTCTCCCATTCCTGAATCCCAACAATAATAACAAAAAAAATGTAATGGGAGAAGAGTATTCAGATAAACAGGATGTCAGCACTGTGAAGTAGAGAAAGTAACTGATAGATAGGAAGAGCTGGATTTCACTGTCGTCCTGTCTGCTGCAATTGCTGGTGGTGAGCTCTTCAGCATCTCTTTACTACTACTTTGTATTGCTGAGTAGCATCTATGTGAACTCTTTCCTACTGTGTGTTCTCCTTTTCAGAACCAATACGAAAAGCACAAAGAGGTGGTTGCTGCTCAAGGTGTGAAGATTCTTGGGAAAGATTTGGAAAAAACATTGGCTGGTTTGCCATTGCTTGTAGCTCATAAAGAGGATGAAGTCCCAGTCCTCAAGGTGAGATGGCTGATGTTGAAATGAGACACTTAATCTGGGGGTGACTGAGCTCTCTGGTGGCGAAGTTCATCCCAAGATTGAGAGCTCAACGTTCAAGTAACTTGTTATGCTTATTTTTTTGGTTATGTGTGAGAAACTGTTACAATCATCTGGACACAAGGCTCTGCAGCATCTTAAGTGTTACTGCATTGATGTTTTTGCTATCTTGATTCTTAGTTTTCCTTGGTATTTTGCTGGGTTGCCTCTACTTATGGAATAAGGACTGAAAACACATCATAGCACAGTTTGACTGCATTATTAACTACTGATTCAGCATCTGTAGTGATTCATACATATATTTCAGTGAAATCATACTGCTGGTGGAGTTTCTTAAACTATCATCAGGATTGGAAAGACTTGCGTAATAAACTTTCTTTTGTAACTTTCAAAGAGGCTAAAGAAAGAACACATCTATCTCAAAAACTGAAATTCAGATGAGATGCTCCTGCCCTTCCAAAATGAAGAAGTAGTTTAAAAAGAAGACCCACTGTGCTGATAGTTTGTTTATCCACAGTTTTCCTTCAGCCTACTGTTTACTTACCTTTGCCTCTTAAGGAAGGTTAGTCCTTCACATCCTCCAGTTACAGGCTGTTTTCTGGGTAGATCAGAGTATGTATGTAAAATCTACTTGTTGTAGATGTGTGAGAACTTAAAAGTAAAAGGTAACAACTATTGATCTGTTAGAGGAAAAGAGTGTTCAGGCTTGAGAGGCACAGGCTCTTGAAAACAGGATTGTAACATCTCAGAGCAACAAGGTGGCCCTTCTGCTCTGATATCCTCCGTGGCGTACCTAGGCCTTGCTGCTCATGAGGCATTCAGAATCCTTTTTAGCCAATGGTTTTAGGGATCTCTCTTTGTTAATGTTCAGTTGAGCAACTGAAGACACCGGCACGTGCTGTTTTGTGTGTTCTTTCATCTTGCTGGAAGAAGCCTACTGTGCTTGGTGGAACAATGTAGGTTGCAGAGAAGTGTTACTGGCTCTCAAGATGGCTGTCTGCTTTGTGTTTGTGGTCACCTTCTTTCAAAGCCCTCAAATACGATTTGGTACAGGCTCTTCTCACCAAGCCACAGTGTATCACAGGGCTGTGTGTGACCTGTACTGTGGGGCTCCACGCTGGTACCTGTCGGTATGGCTGTCAGGAACAGGAAGACTGCATACCAAGAACAGCAAAAGAACTAAACCTTGCTTTTCTTTCTAAAGGATGAACTGATACACGAACTGAAGCAAACACTGAATGCAATCAAGTTAGAAGAGAAGGGTGTTTATGTCCAGGCTTCTACTTTAGGGTCTTTGGAAGCATTACTTGAATTTCTTAAAACGTCAGAAGTGCCAGTAAGTGCTCTCTGTGCTGCGTCTGATGTTGCTTCTATTGCTGTGTGGTGGTGTTTGAGTTGATAACTGTTTCCTTTCTACTCAGAAAGGTCAGTGACTGATTTGTGTGCCTTTTCTCTTCAACAGTATGCAGGAATTAACATAGGTCCTGTCCATAAAAAAGATGTTATGAAGGCATCCGTTATGTTGGAACACGACCCCCAGTAAGTGAGCTCTTTGCTATCTGCTGTGTTGGCAAATGCATAGCGGTGTTTCGGGAAGCCTCCCTTCTCAGCTGCAGTTCTGTGATCTGCCTGCTGAACTGCTTGACTTCTTTCTGTTGCAGATATGCAGTCATCCTGGCATTTGATGTGAGGATCGAACGTGATGCGCAGGAAATGGCTGATAGTTTAGGAGTGCGAATTTTTAGTGCTGAAATAATTTATCACTTATTTGATGCCTTCACAAAATACAGACAAGACTACAAAAAACAGAAACAAGAAGAATTCAAGTAAGTAAAAGCAGTCCAATTCTGCATGCTTCGTAAGTAACAGAGTCTCTTAATCCTTTTATTACTAAATGAAATTGCCTTTAGCTCGTTGATTGCAAGTTATTGCTTAGAAGTAGTGAAGGAAGGAAAAGAGGAAGAAGATGGGACAATAAACTGTTAGTTTTCAGGAATACAGTCCAGTCTAAATGTTTACATCCAGGATTAGGTTTAGTAGGATGGGAGTTGTGAAGTCATTGCAAGACTTAGCTCATGCAACATGGAGTGTTCTTAATGAGGTTTCCCTCATATACTTTTCTGACAGATGGGAGCTGCAGAGTTGAGAAAGCAAGCAGAAGGGTTTGGGTTCTATTGTTTCATGTTTATGTAGTTGCAGTGAACAGGGCTCAGTTCTGACTGCAGTAGCATGAATTATCATTTAAGAATTTATGGGGATCCAAAACTTAATTTTTGGAATCTGGTCCTCAGTAAAGACAGTAAACCATTTATTTTTAATCCAAATTTGAGATTGTGTAGCTCAACATTTTGAAATCCTTGTTCACAAACAAAAGTTTTGAATTTCTTCAGTCGCTGATGGATTATGGCAACAATTCTTATGCTCCTCTGAGGTTACAATTGCACTGCAATTACTGTTCCTTTGGTCACAGTCTTAGCCAGTGCCCGAGCCAGTCACAATAAAATCCACGACATCCCTGCCTGTCACTGTCATTGTCACCTACAGTTCTTTAAGATGGAGCACTGAATAGGATCAGCAGAGAATTTTCCTGCCTGATGCTTTGTCAAGTGACACTGTTAGAATAAACGTCTAGGCTGTGTGATAGCGGGCAGAACTGTGTGCTCTGGTTGCTGTTGCAGCATCTATTTCAAAACACCTTTTCTTTGTTGTCTTCCAGGCATATAGCAGTATTTCCTTGCAAGATGAAAATACTCCCTCAGTTTATTTTCAACTCCCGTGACCCAATAGTGATGGGTGTGGTTGTGGAGGCAGGCCAGGTGAAGCAGGGGACTCCCATGTGTGTACCCAGCAAAAACGTGAGTAAGAGCCTCTTCCCAAGGATGCTCGATCTAGCTGGTAGTTGCTGGAATGATGCGCCAGGAAATGTTTGCATGCATTTCATCGTTGTGCAGAATTTTGGCAGAGGAGATGAGATGCAGAGTTTTAGATCAGTTATTGCAATGATCAGCCATCGTGCTACTCTGCTGGAAGCGTCACATCCTGCAGCAAAGAGCGCCCTGCCAGGAAGCATAGCACGGCTGTGGCAGGCAGCCTCTCTCCTTTGTGCAGTGTTGATGTTGTGATGCAGAGTAACAAGCAAAACTTCCACTGCTGGTCACTAATAAGGGGAGAACTCAAGTCTTGGTGTTCTGAAGGATAACAAATAAGGCAGATGAGCTACAGAGGGGTTGGCACCGCTGCCCTTTTCTGTGCTCACAGTGCTCATTTGCAAGTTCTGAGGTAGTGGCTCCGATAGCTTTGTGTGAGCAACTAGCAGGAATTGAGAGAGCACCCGTGCATGGGTTTTGCTGATCTGTCTTACACAGTTTCTTCCTTGCGTTACAGTTTGTTGACATTGGAATAGTTACAAGTATTGAAATAAACCACAAGCCAGTGGAAGTGGCAAAAAAAGGCCAAGAAGTGTGTGTTAAAATAGAACCTATTCCTGGTGAATCACCGAAAATGTATGGACGGCATTTTGAAGCCACAGACATCCTCGTCAGTAAGGTAAAAGCCAGCTGCATTTGTGGTGTATGACAGGGGTAACAAAGTGAAACAGTCGTGTGAAGCCTGAAAAACTGATACTGGTGACCCTCATTGGAGACAGAGAGCCACTTGAAATTCCTCGTGCAGGGCTTTGTTCTGTTCTTCCGTAGCCTTTTTATGACTTCTGTAGCAGTGCTGCTCAGGAGAGCCAAAGGAATGAGGTACTGTAGCTAAAAGCACTTGGAAGCTCAGTGCGCCAGAGGGGGAATCTAGTCAGTGAGCTATTTGTGTACCGTTCTGTAGTTGGTGCTCACAGCTCACCCCTTCCTGTTCTGTAGGTGGGTGCCTTTTCTGTAGGCTGCTGTTCCCGGTGTGTGAAGAGCTGCCTTTGTCACCGTGCACATCTGTTTCTGATGGGCTTGTCTTGTGTGTTACAGATCAGCCGTCAGTCCATCGATGCTCTGAAGGACTGGTTCAGGGACGAAATGCAGAAGTCTGACTGGCAGCTCATAGTGGAGCTGAAGAAGGTGTTTGAAATCATCTAGATAACTTTTTACAGTGATGGGAGGCAGGAATAGACTTGCTATTCCTGTTTTGATAGTTACCAACAAAGTCGTATACTGAAGACAGTGTTGGATGTGTTTGGGAGGAAAATATGTGGATAAAATGTTTTCCATGAGAAACCAAGAAATTTACACTGGTTTGACAGTGGTCAATTTACATGTTCCCACGGTTCCAATGTGCCTGTTCACCTGTTCCCACCGCCCTTCCCAATACTGGCTGCTGTTTTAAAGTTTGCCCTTTCTTCTCTTACACCTTCCTTCCACCCTTTTTCCCTCCTCTCTCCAAAATAAAGTAAAATAAATTGAATTTTTATTACAGAACTAAAGCTCTTTCACTTTTATACTGATGAGATCAGTACTGCAGTATTTGATTAACTAAGCTTCTGCAGACTTTGTGATTCTTGGGACATTTTTGATGTAAGAAGTACTTCTTTATTTATGCATACCTCTTTCCTTGATTCTCTTTTCCAACATTCTTCTGCTTTGTGCCTATAGACATTTTTTTAAATAGACAACTAGGCAATTGGATCTTTCTGTATTTGCTTTGTGTGAAATGATGTAAAGCATAGTTGGCCGCCTTCTACTGCTTGTACAGTTCATGACAGTCAACCTGTAATCATTATAACGCAGAGCTGCAATAAAGGAGATGGACATACGGCTCTTGTTTGACGGCGCTTCAATAAACAAAACGTCCCTCATGAGTTGCAGGTCAGAACGACGGGAGGGTCGTGGTGGGGAGGAGGTTGGATGTGTCATCTCTGCAGCTGCTGCAAAGCGATTGTCCGCATTAAGTGCTGACTGCGGGAGCTGACCTGCGGTTGTGTATCATGGTACAACAGGTCCGGTTCAGAAGGTGTTGGTGATGACCAGGAATCAGTGCCATCCCACCATCTCCATCCCTTCTCTCCCCCCGGCTCTCCCAGTCTACCTTTCCTCAGGCACTGTTAATGTTCAGCTTGGGGTGAGAGTTGGGAAGCAAACGCAAGCTGAAGTGAAATCCGTAACGATCTGATTTAATGATTCAAAATAGAAGAATTTAAGTTGCGGTGAGCAGTTTGATCACGTTTCTTCTGTCACTTAGATCTCTTTTCTGAGTTGGAAAAAAACCTGAATTTGATGCTGGGGACTGTCTATGCTCCATTACAAAGGAGCAGTTAACAACTTGCCACCTGAACTTGATAAGAATTTTTGTTTGTTAGACTTTATCTTGCCCTGGAAAAGGACATTTTCATCTTGTTAGAGTGAGGCTAGACTCACATCACTGCATATATGCATATCTGTTCTAAGCCACAAGTTCCAGTGTCTCAGAGAGGAGACTGCAATTAATTAGTTGTTACAATTTTCTTTTGCAAACTATGCAATCACAAATGCTACACTAATAAAAGATGTTAAGATCATGGATGTCAATTAATGTGGTCTTGATGTGTTCTTAATTTGTTTCTTCACATCCAGAAGGGGAAGGAGTGTTGCTGTTTTTGGAGGATGCTGTTGCAAAACTAGTAAAATGCCTTCATTAAATGGTGTAAGGGGAGCAGAAAACTTGAATAAAATACTTAGGGGTTTGAAGCAGGGCTCAGTAAGGGAGAATGAAAATATCAGTTAAAAGTAATCCTCTTCTTGAAGATGAAAGCTTCAAGTATATCTTGAGCAGCACTCAAGAAGATCAGAGCTGTGTACCTGAAATGCAGCGAGCTAAATACTTGTTTGAACTGCAGCACATACATTCTTCTCTTTAACAGCAAAATAGAGAAATGGAATAGAAGTGCTTGTGATATTATGTACATCCAGTTGGGTTTTGAATACTTCTCTACTGCTCAGGACTCCAGAAGCCCTCTGAACAATCTCCAAGGTTTAGTTACAGGGCTGTGTGGGGAGGTGTTAAAAGTAATTTGTTGTACTTTGTCAATTAAGAGTGGAAAAGGGACTGTTTTCCTTACTCCTCTCAGTGTCTGTATACAGGGATGAGATTCCCCACCCTTATCAGAGCTTTCCAAGCCTTCCCTTGTATGAGATGCTCCATTCCCTTGATCACCTGGACTAGGTTCACAGTCTGTCCATGCCTGTTTGCACTCCCTCAGCCTGCTGCTGCTGACTCTTCCTCATGCAGCCCAGGAAGCTGTGGACCACCTCTACTGCGAAAGAGCCCTGCTGGCTCCTGTCTACCTTGAGCAATTGTATTCCATCTTTCAATTCTACAGTCAAATTCACATGGGTAATTTTGACCCATCCACCCCCAGATCTTTTCATTAAAAATTTGGGTTTTCTTCAAGTGCATTTGGGTTTCCTTTTCAGGCAGCTTCCTTCAAGATACTGAGCTAAATGTTACCACATGAGGCTGATACACATCTAGAAAAGCAAACTTGTCCAGAACACCACCAACAGAGGTGTAAGCACATAAACCCCTTATCTGGGACAAATTGTTGGGGTTATTTCATAGAATATCCCAAGTTGGAAGGGACCCGTAAAGACCATCAAGTCCAAGTCCTGGCTTTGCACAGGACCACCCAAAAAAAATCAGACCAAATGTCAGAGAGCAGTGCCCCAGCACTTGAACTCTGGCAGCTGGGGGCAGTGACCACAGCCCTGGGGTGCCTGTTCCAGAGCCTGCCCACGCTCTGGTCAGAACCTTTTCCTGATCCCAGGTACAGACCCCTTCTTGACAGAGTTCTGCTACTCACACACCCTGTGTTGTTGCACAGAGGAAATGCATGTTAACTGGTGGGATGTGAAGAGCGGAACGTGGCTCTACTCCAAGTACAAGCAATTCAGAGGACTGATAAGAGACTTATTGCTCCACTCTGGCTTACTCTCTGGCATACAGGGCTTATTTTGAGTAACTTTAAGGGTCTCCATTTGTTCTCCTTCATAAGCACATAGCTCAAGGACAACTCTACACCTGAATTTGCAGGCCTCAGAGAGCACATGCACCTCAGCTACCATCTGTGCTGGGAATGCCTGAGCAATGCTGGCTTCTTTTACTGAAGGATGAAGTAGAAATGACGTAATACTCTTTCTTCCCTCGGTCTGAAATCTGTGGAGCCAGAGTGCAGCAGATGGACATACAGCAATCTCCTGTGTATGCTGAGGCAGCACCAATGTGTAGGACTTCATGAAATGAATCAAAGCTGCAGCGTTAATCGAAAGGGTTAGCAATATTCAAAGTGAAGCATGACAAAATAGAATCAGTACAAAAATATACATACAGTTCTTTATTAAACAACTGTAAACACTTCACTGTAAAAATCCATAAAACTTTATAAACAAACATTTTGTAAATAGATTCTATACTACAATAAAAGAATTTTAACACAATTATTTACATGCAATACTGACAAATTTGGCACTTTCTGAAAAGAAATGTACAAAACACTTTGTTGTTTAAAAAGAAATTTGAAATTATAAAAACTCAGGGCATTACTATCATGCACTTTGCAAATACCTCACAAGCACTTATGGCACAGCTAGCAGAGAGCTCCAGGCTCTCAAGTTCCTCACTACAAGTTCAGATAACTTTTAATGTGCTTCCGTAAGTTTGCTGTAAAACTACCTGAACATTGTCAAGAATGAAGTCAAATGCCATATTCCAAACTGATTCCACAGATGACTGCATTAACCTGAAAGGAAGATAGAAAAAAAAAAAAGGGTGAAAACGACCATTACAGAACTAGCTTTTCTTACTTTTGGTCTTCAAACTGAAGAACAAGTTATCACAGAAATGATGAAAGGGACCTTCCAACAACTTTACACAAAAGAACCCAAAATGGCAAGTTTTACAGAATCACAGAAGTTTCTGCACCCCCATCTTTCCTTTCTTAAACGAAGACACGGGCACTACACCTCTCTCAACAAATGCAGTGATAACTATGGCATTTCAGTCATAATTTGGGGGACTCTATATTGTCTGTGCACCTACAAGTGGAACAAATCACGAACACACAGGTAAGTGCGAGTTAGCTCCATCGTTCAGTTGCTACTAAAAGAAAAGCAAAGTTAAGTAAAAAATACCCAAGGAAGACAGAGCCACTGTGTTCTCTCTCTCTCCCCTTATCAGTCACCTCCTGGATGACTGCTGCAGGAGAGCAGAGGGCTCCTACATGTACAGCTTTGGAGGATCTAATGTCAGTGCCACATGGACAGCTGCGTATCTTTCACTTCCATGTCCTTTGTCCTGTGCTTGCTGAGACACTGCCGTCAGAGCACATCTCGCATTTGGGGACCAGCAATGATATCTGATGCTTTCTGGTAAGTTTTATAAACAATTCACAGTATTCAACAAAACAGTTCACTGCAGATTTCCTGTTTTCTGAGGCCTAAAGACATCCCATAATACAAAAGTTGTAGTCTTTTGGACATGACTCGATCTGTGAAATAAATGTTTCCACGATCTACGAAACAGGAAGCTGAGCTACATGGTGAAGTGTCAGTTGGTAAGCAGGATACAAATGGAAACTGGGCCTCCCAACTCACAGGGGGAGTAACAGCACAGCAACTAAGCAACAGGAACGGGTTTAATGGGGTTGGAGAGGTGAGACAGAATCCGGATACAGAACTGTGATCAGGTGAGATTTAAGGTAGGCTGATAAATGAATGAAAACAGAGTGAAGAAAAGGGATAGTGACACAAAACTCTCTGCAGCAAACACTTTCTAAATGCTATTATTAATTTTTCAGATCATCTGTTCTATCAGCCCAGCTCTCTCCCTCTCCTCACTTTATTAATGTTTAATAAAATTTAAGCTCAAAATATTTACACTCATCAATTCAATGTCTCACAGGCTTGTGAACTCACAAGTACCTAATGCAAAAGTGCTAACAATTTAAATATCACAAATATTAGCAACTAAGCTACCTTTTCATGTACTTAACAACCAGATCCAATTTTTCCAAATCTTTTTCTTCTATTAGATCAGTACAATACTTCACAACCTGCAGAATGTCTTCTTCCATAGGATCTGTAAAAAAACAATGAAAAGACTGGAGAGAACTTTTCTTAAAGTACACTCTCAATATAACCAAAGAATTAGAATGCACTACAAGAAAACAAGGCAGTGTTAGCACTTCAGGTGCCAATCTGACAACTGCTCTATTCCCATACCTCCCCCAGCATCAGAAGCTCTGTACATAAATGGATTGCAACACCCTGAAGCATCAATTCTTTTTTATCCTCTCCTCCTGTAAGGACAAACGGCAACCGAAGGGCGAAGGAAAAGAAAAAGGGACTTAGATTGGAATGATTCTTCCAGAACTCTTGAGGAAAATGGCGCTGTCTGGGATACGAGGGCTCCTGCAGGTCAGATTTCCCAAGATATGAAGGTATTGCTAATTGTGTGACACGATGATGAAATTCAAATCACAATTTAACAACATCGTCATACTTTTGCCTTTTATTCTACAATGCCTTCTGGCAGTTTTTTTATGTGAAAAAATATGCATTCCTTTTCCTCTAAAACAGTAACTTTGGGAGCGGAATTTCCTTTTAAAAGCTTTTAAATCCATAGAGATTTACCATACTGGACAAAGTAGGAAAAACCTTTCATACAAGTAACATCAAGGCATGACACAAGAACCTGACCCACGGGCTGAAGAGAAGAGCAGGCAGATGGTCATGATGCAAAACACAGAACATGAGCTGGCAAAAACAAAGAACAACTGAGTA